GTTGATGAAATGGAGCAAAATCAGGCAGTACGTGTTTATTGAACTGTTGTATTAAATCAATATCACATTCGCAAACTCCTTGAATAATTATTAAAATCTGTCACTCTCTTTATCGCGATCTGTGGGCGCATAGAAAATTAGAGTTCTCAAGACTCAAAAGCACGTGCAAATGATAAGTTCCGTCATCTGTCATCGCGTTATAAGCGCGGAACATGCGGGAATGAGTAGAATTATTATTAATAGCCGCAATCCCACGCCTGAAATTCAAGACCTGCTCTGTGTTCTCTGCTAATAACCCGAATGTGAATGATGCAAGCGGCATTATGTTGTCCGTGAGAAGCTGCAGCCGTGGCGGGGAGGATTTTTGGTGTGCCAGTGTTCTGACAAATAACGCTACCTATCAGATTATGCTACCAACAAATCGCCAGAACAACAACAACAATGTTCTACATGTTTCTTTTCCCCTCATTTTTTCCAATTGACGGAAATTCTACTTTCATCCCTGAGTAGTATTATCATGTACATCATACTGCACCACAGTAATATATTTCTGATAATTTCATTAAGATAACCCCAATTTATATTTTGACGGGTTGCCGTGAGGAACTTGTTTCTGTAGGTCTATGTAAATGATATGAAGATAGTTTTACTCCAATGAAACTGTCAAATGCTCATGAAGTGACTCTTAGAGGGAGTCAGAGCAGTTCTGGAGATGTTGTTCATGTATTTATGTCCTCATGTGCTGAAATCAGCGCGAGCATCGCACACTTTGTATGTGTAGAAAACAAAACCACTCGTCTGTACCATTTACATACACAGAGACACGCAGAACATGCTGGATCCATATTTAAATAGTATTTTTGCGGCATTTAATGCTTTTCTGTAGGATAGTTTACTTTCCGGGCCAAGCAACACGAAATACCTCTAGTTTTGTTTTCCTCCAGCTGCGCTCCATTTTCCGGGCTGCTCTCTTTAGGGTGTGAGTGTGCTCATTATACCACGGTGTCAGACTGTTTTCCTTAATCTTCCTTAAGCGTAAAGGAGCAACCGTATCTAAAATGCTATGTTATAAATTGAAGCAACACCTCCCCCTTTACCTTTTGGACACGGCTCATGTTTTATAACAGTAATCTTGGGGGGTAGACACGTTTAAAATAATGTAATCATCAGGTTTTAGCCAGGTTTCTGTCAAACAGAGCACATCTAGGTTATGATCAGTGATCATATCATTTACAAAATCGCTTTCGTAGAAAGGGTCCTGATATTCAATAAGCCAAGCTTTATCATTTGTTTATCCATATTACGTCTGTTTTTTATTTGTTGAACAAATTTAATTGTTACGTTTTTTGTATTTTCTAGTTTGAGGAACAGACACAGTCTCTATAGTGTGATATCTAGGCGAAAAAGTATCTATGTGCTGAGAATTAACTGATTTCTGTGACGTGAGGTGGCTAGCAGACAGTCGGTTTAGCCAGTTTGTCTGCTTCCTGACCTGAGCCCCAGTTAGTCAAGTACAAACTCTTAAGACTATGTGCCATATTTCTAGAGAGAAGAGCGGCACCACCCCAGGAGGGATGAAGACCATCTCTTTTCAACAGGTCAGGTCTGCCCCAAAAACTCATCCAATTGTCTATGAAACTTATGTTATTCTGTGGGCACCACTTAGACATCCAGCCATTGAGTGACGCCATCTGCTAAGTATCTCGTCACCACGGTAAGCAGGGAGGGGACCAGAGCATATTACAGTGTCTGACATCGTGCTTGCAAGTTCACAAACCTCTTATTTTTAGTGATCTCCGACTGGTGAAGTCAAACATCATTAGCACCGGCGTGAATAACAATCTTACTGAATTTACTTTTAGCATTAGCCAGCACTTTTAAATTTGCCAAGATGTCAGGCACTCTGGCTCCCGGTAAATATTGGACTATAGTGGCTGGGGTCTCTATTTTCAC